CCTCCAAGGAGCAGCCTGGTTTAACCCTCTCCAGGACAAACCTGTTCGTTCTCTTGGCAGCCCATGGATTATTCAAAACGTGATGGCAGATGGAAGAAAGATCAAAGGTGCTGAGGAATTAGTGTAGCTTGGATCCACAATCAACACCCACAGAAGCTGCAGTTATGAAACCAAACACCTTACAATGGGTAAAACTCCTCTTTACAGTACAAGGCAGTCATGTTAGTTTTGCTCTTTTTCATTTTATTTTTAAAACTTTTATTTTAATGAAAGTTTACAGAAAACTAGGATTTCCATTCATTCATTGTTGCACATTTTCCTCCCTGCCCCTCTCCAGTTGGCTTTTTTTTTTATTCTGTTCTTTATAAGGTTTTTTTTAAAGTTAAAATTTTAATGAAAGTTTATAGAGAATTTGGATTTTCATTCATTCATTGTTGCACATTTTCCTTCCTGCTCCTCTTCAGTTCACTTTTCTCTTTGAGAAAAAAAAAACAACAAACCAAAACAAGAAACCCCCAAACTTCCATTGTCGTACAATTCCCCACCTCCACCCCAGTGCACTTTACTATGCAGCTCTTATTCTGGACTATTGTCATAAATAATACCTAATCATATATTCCTTTTAAGCAGTTCTTTCCCTCATGTGTTTCCATGCAGTGTACATTATTTATCCCCTCTTTTCAGTTTCCCCCCCAACCCCGATGTGAGTCCTGTTTTACAACAGTAGCATTATGCAGTATTTGTCCTTGGGAGAAGACATGAAGCTGAGAAAGGTGGAGGGTCAGAGGAAGAAAGGAAGACCCTTTCCAAGATGCATTGGCGCAGTGTCTGTCACAATGGGTCTGAGCATATCAGAGATCATGAAGAGATGCAGGATGGCCTGTTTAGATCTGTTGTCCATGGGTCACCCTGAGTCACAGTCAACTCTATGGCCCCTCAGACCCACAATAAAAATATTTTTATAAATGAAGAGGCTGCATGCAGCCAAAGACGTGCTTCGAGGGTTAACCACAGGTGCACTCTCTCCCTGGTGTCTAGCTGTGGCTGGAGGAGCAGGCGTTATCCACCGTGCTGCAGACACACCTGCAGGAGGAACAGGAGAGCATCGTCCATGGCGTCTTGGCCCGACTCAACGGCTTCAATGAGGAGTGAGTACAGCGCTGAGCAGGTTGCATGGTTCTTGGTTCTAGTCTCGGTGTCCTTATCCCGTAAGGCAGATGCATTAACCAACACAGTTCTTCACAGTATGGATTTGAAAACCCAAACATATTTTAGGTACAGATAAATTGCTATTCACTGATGATGATGATCTTACGTGTCAACTACAATGCGTAACGACCCTATGCACAATAGTTCTGAATCCTGCTCTATCCCGAGCCAATCTCACTGTCTCTGACAAACACACCTACCCTCTTTACCCCTTATTGTGTCAGTCCGTCTCATTCAGAGTCTTCCTCTTCTGTGCTGTCCCTCAAACCTTCCAAACATGATATCCTTCTCTAAAGACTAGCCCCTCCTGGCTACGCGTCCAAATTATGTGAGACAGAGCCTCAGAATCCTTGCCTTCAAGGAGCAGCTTGGTTTCACCCTCTCCAAGACAGACCTGTTTATTATCTTTGCAGTCCATGGCATGTGTTCAAGACTCTTCTCCAAGACCACAACTCAAAGTGTCATGGTAAAACTCACACCTGGAGTCAGATTTAATAAAGGCAAATTACTTAATATTTCCTAGAATCTACTGTTGTTGTTGTTGTGTGCCATCAAGTATGACTCATAGCCACCTGAACCCTGTCCTCTCCTGTGCCAAACTCACCATCTCTGACACATTCAAGCCCTTTGTTGCAGTAACTGTGCCAAACTACCTGGTTAAAGGTCTTCTTCTCCTTCACTGTGCCTCCACCTTTCCAAGCATCATGTCCCTCTCCAGGGAATAGCCTCTCCCAGCATCATACCCAAAGTGTGTGAGATGAAGCTTTATCATCTCCAAGGAGCACTCTGGCTGCACCTTATCCAAGACCTATCTGCTCTTGAAACAGTCGTAGTAAATCCTTCCTTGGCTCCTGGGCGATCTACAGGAGGCTTGCTATCAGTCTTGCTGCAATTGTCTTTGTTCCATCTTTGCTTCAGGGTCTAGTCTATTCATACCCCACAGATAAGAGGCTTATGATGACACGTCCCACACCGTTAAGGCCTCATTAACATCACCAAGCAACCCAATAGGATTGCCCAAAAATGGTGTCACTCTGGCGGTTCAAATCCACCAGCAACTCTGTACAAGTAAGAAGGGCAGTCTTCTACTGTGCAGTATACAGTCTCCAAAAATGTGCTCAAGGGAGGGCTGAATTGTTCCCAACTTCACAGCAATGAGTGAATGGATGGGATTATAGGATACAAGGGCTAGGATTCCAGTACATATTTTAGGGGACACAATTCAATACCTAACAGGGGGGCAAATGAGGGAAGGATGATACCTTCTTAAAAAGGACTTCTGCAGCCACCGCTGCTTGAGAAGCTTCTCCTAGCTCAGCGTTTTATCTAGTACAGCCAGAACAGAAATACCATACATACATGGTTTGGATCAGAAAAATGTATTATCTCACTGTTTAAGAAGCTAGACACAGAACTCTGAGCATAGGCCCTAGTGGAAGGCTTTCTCTCCCTGTGGACTTGGGGAAAGGTCCTTTTCTCCTTTCCACATCCCTGGGCCTGGCCTCCCCTGAAGATCTCTGTGCATCTTTGGATAAATTGTCCCCTGGATCTAGGAGGTTCTCAGCACAGGTGCCCTGGGTCCAATGGGATGCTCTGCTCTCGGCTGTTATTTCTTGGTGGGCGTAAGGTCCTTCTATGATTTGCTCACATATATAATCTCTTTTATATTTCAAAAGAGATTGGCTCAAGATTCCTCATCTAGTAAATTGTGTCCTGTCTCATTAACATCACTCATTTACACGTATAGGATACTTATAGAAGATCATAAAATGGGATGATCACATCAGATCACAGAATGGAGAGGAATTTATAATATGAGAAGTTGACGTGTTATTTTGGTGGGGTGCAATGACCCCTGTCCCCTGCCGTCCTTCCTCACAGGTCCACATGGTGTGTCCTGCAGGGCCATGACCTGCTCCTGCGCTCCATGCTCCGCAAGCTGGCCCTCCGCGGCAGTGCCGTCACCACCCTGGTGCAGATGAGACTGTCGGGGAAGAAGAACCTCCTACGGGAGCTCCGTGAACAGTACGCCCTGGAGCAGGGCTCCTCCCAGTGCCTGGATGAGCACCAGTGGCAGCTTCTGAAAGCCTTGGTGAGAAAATACCTCTGCCAGGTCATTCCCCACCACCCCCTAGACAGGCCCTGCCCCTTCACCAACCCCAGCATGGTGGCTCAGTGGGAAGGAATTATACTACCAACGCAAAGGCTTAACCCAACGGCTGCTCCGTGGGAGAAAGATGGGCAGTCTCCTCTCTTGTCATTAACTGTCTCTGAAAACCAGCTGGACGGTCAGCTATGGGTAGGTTCTAACTCAATGTTCCACACAACGACATCTGGGGGAACACAGTTCAACCCATGACAGTGACCCTTCAGGACAGAGGAGAACTGTCCACAGGGACTCCAAGGCTGTCAATCTTTATGGAAGTTTACCACTGTAATGTTCTCCCTTATGGAAGTTGACCACTGCCTCATTCTCCCTTAGGCTGCCTGGTGGACTTGAACTGCCAATGTTTAGCTTAGTAGACTGATGCTTAATCCTCTGTGCCATCACAGCTTCGCTTCCATCTTGAGCCCTGGATGACACTAATGATTTATGCTTTGACTACTAGCGAAAAGGTTGGCAGTTCAAACCCACTCAGTTCACACCCAGCAGACAGGTCTGTTGGTCAGCTTCTGAAAGATTGCAGCCTTGAAAAGCTGGGGAGCACAGGTCTCCTCTGACACACACGGGGTGGCCATCAGTCAGGACCCACTGCACACCAATTGGCAACAACCATCTGTTTGAGACACCCATAAGTGGTGCAAATGGTTAGCATGATTAGCTGATAACTGAAAGTTCAGTGGTTCAAATCCACTCAGGGGTCTGGTGATCTGCTTCCAAAACATCAGCCCTTGGAAACTTTGTAGAGGCCAGTTCTATTCTGATTCACGTGGGGCCCATGTTGTTGTTGTTGTTGTTGTTGTTGTTAGGTGCTGTCAAGTTGACAATGACTCAGAGTGACCCTATGAACAATAGATCTGGGCCGTGTCCTATCCTGTGCCGTCATCATCATTTCGGCCGCACTAGAACCCACTGCCACAGTCACTGTGTGAATCCGTCTCCTTGAGGGTCTTCCTCTCCTTCACTGACCCTCCACTGTTCCAAGCACAATATCCTTCTCCAAAATCTGGCCCCTCTTAACAACATGTCCAAAGGATGTGGCACGAAGCTTCACCATCCTAGCTTTCAAGGAACACCCTGTTTGCACTTCCTCCAAGATGCATAGGTTTGTTCTTTCGGCAGTCCATGGCATAGTCACTTCTCCAACACCACAGCTCAAAGGCATCAATTCTCTTGTCCTTAATCATTGCCCAACTTTAAGATGTATAGAAGTAACTGAAAAGACCATGGTTGGATCAGGTGCACCGTGGATGATGGGGGCCCCTGAGTCAACAGCATCTGGTTACAACCAATCTGGAGAGCCAGCTTGTAGATGGCAGAGCTGGGGTTAAACCAGCAGGCTAGCTCCAGGCTCCCACAGGAGCAGCTCCAGGGAGGATAAGCTCGTGGCTCTTCTGCTCTGATCAGGACTCACTGTGTCCCAGCTGTAGTCCCTCAGCCCATCACACCCTTTCATCTTCCCTAAAAAGGAGCCCCTCCTGGTCTCCCCACTCTGTTCTTAGACTCAGTCTTGCCTTCAGACTGCAGCATACTCTGCGGCTTCCGAGAAGTTACTTCTCTGTGCTGTGTCCTCACTGGCCCTAAAGATTACAGCCTGGAAACCACTGGGGGCACTTCTGCAGAGTCACCTGGTGACTGTGGGTTTGGTTTGGTAATGACCTACCGGCTCCCTTTACATGTAATAAGCCCCTAACCACACAGTGCATAGTTGGTGCTCAATAGATGCCTTGGGGGAACGTTCGGCAGACTCAGAAGGATCCATTATTGGTTTCAGTGAGCCCAGAATCCACAGCTCTTTGCTCTTCTCCCCTCCTCCCCTCTTCCTGGGGTCCAGGGCAGGGACAGCCCCTCGTCGCCAAGGCTTCACTGTCCCCCGTCCTCGTCCCTTCTCTCCAGGAGGCGCGTGTGCTGGAGGAGACTGGCCGGCTGGAGGACGAGGCCCAGCACACGCGGCAGCTGCTGCACCAGCAGCTCCTGGCTGAGGCCCAGGAGGCCTGGCGACTCCTGCAGCAGCACACGGAGCGGGCCATCGGCCGGGCTCTGCTGGGGCACGCTCGGAACGCGGCCACCAGGAGCCAGGTCAGGGACAGGGATGACTTCAAGGTGCGTGCCCGCCTGACCAGGGAAACCACATGGCATGAAGGGTGGGAGGGGGGTGGGCAGGCGTGAGCAGCACCTAGGTCCGGTTCTCAGCACATCCTCCACTGGGACCCCTCAGCCTTGTGGGGCAGACTTCACTCCCACAGACCTGTTTCTCCGTCTGTAAGGTTGTTCCTGTGGAGGAATGCCCTGGCTTTGCGCCTCTCACCCACTTGAAGAATTACGCCCGTTGGGAGACTCTGCAGGGGATGGTATCCGGGCCACCGAGGCAGCAGGGTGCATAGCGATTTCGGTGGCCCTTGGGAGAGCCAGCCTAAGTTCACAGCCCAGAGGCTCAGAAAAGGCTGATTTCAGTGTACAACATGAGGGTCACTAAGGAGGGCCATTGTTGGTCTGGCTCAGCACAGTGTGGGCCTTGGTGTAGGCGGAAGCCGTGTTGCAGCACTGGACCTAGAGGGCAGGTGAGGCCTTTGTTAGGGTATGAGGCCAAAAAGAAAGGAGCGGAGGCAGGGGTGACGCAAAAGGGAAAGACAGACTTATTAGGAGGTGCTTTCCAAAGGACGGGCCTTCCTTCCTGGGAAGGAAGTAATGGAGGAGGCCGAGCGTCCCTGAGGAGAGGTTGTGCGTGTGGCTCTTTGTCCAGGCATGCCTTGGGGGGAGTCTGGGCCAATGGGATGTTGTCATGAAGAGTCCAAAAATCTGGGGGTCGTGGGGGTGTTATGTGCCATCAAGTTACCTGTGACTCCACAGCGACCCTGAGTACAACAGCTCTGAACCCTGCTCTGTCCTGAGCCAGTCTCACTGACTCTGACACACCAACCTCCACTGCCCCAGTCACTGTATCAATCCATCTCATCTACGGTGTTCCTCTCCTACACTGTCCCTCCACCCTTCCAAGCATGATGTCCCTCTCCAAGAACTGGTTCTTCCTGGCAACATGCCCAAAGTGTGTGAAACGAAGCTTCAGAGTCCTTGCTTCCAAGAAGCAGCCTGGTTTCACCCTCTCCAGGGTGAACCTGTTAGTTCTCTTGGTGGTCCATGGTATGTTCAATACTCTTCTCCAGCACCACAGCTCAAAGACAATGAATCTTTTTCTATCCGGCTTAGTCACTGTCCAGCTCTCTCTTCAGTTTGGTGGATGAGTCTTATTCCAGTCCATTGCCTTTGACGTCACCCATGTGCCTAAAACGCTGAATGGGCTGCCTCCAGGGGGCGCCTTTAACACACACACACACACACACACACACACACACACACACACAGAGTTTCACAGCACAAGCTCCTCCGCCCCCGTCTCATTGGTATTTGTTTGAACAAACTTTCCGCCCGGCCCCTCCTTATATCTGCCTGATTCTGACCCTACAAGATGGGGCCTCAGCACCCAGTCAGCGTGTTGGCTTGAGTGTTGCTGTGATGCTGGGAGCCAGGCCCCTAATGTTTCAGTTACCAGCAGATTCACCCAGAGTGGACAGGTTCTAGACTAAGACAGACTAGGAAGGAAAGCCCAGAGGTCCACTTTTGACAATTGCCAGTGAAAACTCTGTGGTTCAGGACTCCGCGCTGTCCAGTGCACAGATGACCCCGGTCAGAAGGCAGCATGGACTCGGCACGCCAGGGACCCGGAGGACAGCAGGTTGCCACGCTTTGTACTGTTGTATGTGAGGTTGCTGTAAGTCACTATCTCTCAATGCAGATGACACCAACAGGTCTGGGCAGCCGCCTCATAGAAGTGTGACCACTGCTCCCCAGCGCTCAGCAGGCGTCCACCTGCCACTTCCTAGGCACTCACCATGCTGGACATATTCCTAACACTGACTCCCTCCTCCTGCCACGGCTCCTAGAGGGACAGGAGGTGCCCCAGAGTCACGTGAAAGCCAGTGGCAGAAGCAGGATTCAAACCCAAGGCCCTGCCGCACAGAGAGATGGGTGTTGTCCCTGATACGAACAGGCATAGGCATGGCGGTGACTCTGAGACTTGATGCACATGGCCTTGAGGTTGAGGGCAGCAGCCAGAGTTGGTTTGAAGCGGTCAGGGGCCATCAGGTCAGCTCCCACTCACAGTGACGTTGAGCACAGAGGACTCGAGTCCTGCCCTGTCCCACACCGTCCACACCAGCCCTGCCCGTGCGCACTCATGGCTGCCGTCTCCCTGCCAATCCGTCTCACCGAGGCTCTTCCTCACTTTCAGAGACCCTCTGCTTTTCCAACCAGGAAGGCATTCCCCATGGAATCAAGTGTCGTCTCCATTTGCTACATCCGGGTGTTTGTGTTTTAGGTTGACAGGGCTCTCTGTGACCAGGAGGAGTCCTAGTGGTGCAGTGAGTTAAGCATTTGGGCTTAGAAAAAAAAAGGTGGCCAGTGAAACCACCAGCTTTACAAAGATGAGGTGGCCACTCCTGTAGTGACTTACAGCGCGTGGGGCAGCTCTGCCCTGTGGTCACTGTCACAACCGACGTGGTTGCAGATTATTTAGGGGGATGTTTGGTTTGTTTTTTTCCCTGACTAGGGGTAACTTACACCATTTGGGAGGCTGGGATTTCATGAGGAGAAATGTGGCATCAGGATTGGAGGAAGACTCATCAACTACCTGCATAATACAGATGGCACAACCTTGCTTGCCAAAACTGAGGAGGACCTGAAGCACTTACTGCACAAGGTCAAGGACTGTAGTCTTCAACATCAAAACAAAGATTCTCACCACTTCGCCTGTTAGCAGTATCATGATGGACGGTGAAGAAATTGAGATTATTAACAGCTTTAGTTTGTTTGGCTCCACAATCAGCACTCTTGGGACCAGCCGCCAGGAAATCAAACGATGAATTGCACTGGGAAAACGAGCAGTCAGGGACCTCTCCAGAGTACTGAGAAGCAACGATGTCAGTCCAGAGACTAAGGTGTACCTGATCCAGGCCGTGGTCTTCATAATTACTTACTATGCATCAGAGAGCTGGATAATGACTAAGGACAATAAAAGAAGAATCAGCGCCTTTGAATTGTGCTTGAGAAGAGTCTTGAACATGTCATGGACCATCAAGAAAACAAATAGATCTGTCTTGGAGAGGGTGAAACTAAGTTTCTCCTTGGAAGCTAGGATTTTTAAGCTCTCTCTCACATACTTTGGGCACGTGGCCAGGATGGACCAATCCTTGGAGAAGGACATCATGCTCAGAAGGACGGAGGGACAGTGCAGGAGAGGAAGACCCTGAATGAGATGGATTGACACAGTAACTGGGACAATGGGGGTTGGTGTGTCGGAATTAGCGAGACTGGCTCAGGACAGGGCTGGCTTCAGGGCTGCTGTACTATGAGTCGCAGGTGACTCGATAGCACATAACAACAACAACAAGTGAAACGAAATTAGTCCTGTTTTAAGACAGCCATGCTCTGTCTGCCCCGTGGCAAAGTGAGGTAATCTGAGGGAGCTGTTATTGTTGTTGTGTGCCATCAACTTGGAGCAGACCCATAGTTGACCCTCCAGTGGGTTTTCAGACCCAGTGTATTGTACACGGGGAGATTGCCCACCCTTCTCCCCCCAAAGCAGCTAGTGGATTTGAACTGTACACCCTGAGGTTGACAGTGCAACTACTTACCGCTAGGCCACCAGAGCTCCCTATCAGAAGGAGTTGTGATGTGCTGTTGAGAGGGAACTGACCCACAGCCACCCCTCGGCGTGTTTCCAGAGGCAGTAAAGCACGTGGGAGGAGGTTGCCCACGTTTGTCCTTTGGATCAGCTGGTGGATTCAAACCGTGCGCCTCTGGGTCTGCAGTGCAGCTCCTTACCACAACCCGCCAGCGCTCCCTCCCGGAAGGAGCAAGGGGTGTGAAGTGGGGCAGGAGGAGGAAGGGCTGGCCTGTCACCGAGCTGCAGTCCTCTCTGTCCTCCCACAGGCGTCGCTGATGGAGGCGGCAGTGGAGAGTGTCTACGTGACCAGCCCCAGAGTCAGTCAGCTGGTACAGGGGTACTGCCAGCAGGTGAAGCAAGTGATGCAGGACCACGAGGACAGGAGGCTGCAGCAGCTGAAAACCCTGCAGGGTAGGTGACCGCAGGGCAGGGAGGGGGTGGGGGTGCGGGTGGAGGGATGCAGGACCATGTGGTCAAGAGGCTTCAACAGCTGAAAACCCTGCAGGGTAGGTGACCGCAGGGCAGGGTGGGGGTGGGGATGGGGATGCAGGACCACAAGGACAGGAGGCTGCAGCATCTGGAGACCCTGCAGGGTAGGTGACCGCAGGGCGGGGAGGGGGTGGGGGTGGAGGGATGCAGGACCCTGAGGTCAAGAGGCTGCAACAGCTGAGGCCCTGCAGGGTAGGTGACCGCAGGGCAGGGTAGGTGACTGCAGGGCAGGGTGGGGGTGGGGATGGGGATGCAGGACCACGAGGACAGGAGGCTGCAGCATCTGGAGACCCTGCAGGGTAGGTGTCCACAGGGCGGACGGGGGGGGGGGACAGACGGAAAGAGTTCCGTTGGGGGGAAGCATGAGCTGTGGGCTTTTACATGTCATTTGGATTATTATTTTTATTTTTTACATTTTTATGTTTATTTGTCTCACAAAGAGCCCTGGAGGCCTAGTGGTTAGAATGTTAATGGTTTTGATCCATCAGTTACTCCTCCAGAGAAAGTTGAGGCCGTCTACTTCTACAAAGATTTCAGCCTTTGAAACCTGATGGGACAGCTCTACCCCGTCTTACAGGTTTCTGTGAGTTGAAATCAATTCAGTGACAGTGGGTTTAACATTTTTTAGGGAAAAGATGTCCCGCCAAAGGCTTTTGGAAATATGTGCATACAGCACGGTCTTAGTTCCTTAATGGTGTTGTAACAGAAATACCACAAGGGGGTGACTTTGATGAACAGGAATCTGTTTTCTCACAGTTTAACAGGCTAGAAATACAACTCAGGGCACCAGCTCTATGATAAGGTTGTATCACTGTGGGGCAAAGCCCTAATCTCGTTCCAGTTCTGTAGCACCTTCATTCCTCAAGTCCTTGAGGTCTCCCCGGGGGCACCTGTCTCCCCTACTATATGCTTTCTTATCTCTGGGTCTGTACTCCTTCTTATCAGTCAGAACTAATAAGGTTTAGGACCAACCCTACACCAGTATGACCTTATGAACATAACAAAGAAAACCTTATTCCCAAAAAAGATTGCACCTAAAGGTATGTTGTTAGATATCGTCATGTACTAAGACAGATCTGAGCCTTTCCCAGCGCTGTACCGAGCTCACAAACCGCGTTCTGCTCAAGCTCACTGCGGTAGTCCAACTTGTCAAGGGTCTTTCTCCCTTTTGCTGACACCCCATCTTTCCCAGCATGACGGCCCTCTCCAAGGATGAGCTCTTCCTGAAAAGGTGTCCGAAGTAAGTGAAGTAAAGTTTTAGTTCCCTTGCCTCTGAGGAGCTCTCTGATGGCATTTCCACCAGATAAATTCGTGAGTTCCTTCGGCATTCCAAGAGACAGTCAATGCTCTTTGCTAATATGACAGTTCAAAGGCATCAATTCTTCTTCTTTCTTCTTTCTTCATTAGCTGACTTTCAGATACATAGGAAACAATTCAAAAGACCATGCCTTGGATCGGGCACATCTAGGTCTTTTTTTCTTATTTTTTAAATTTTATTTCATTTTATTATTTTTTGTGTGTACCATCAACACTGTAACTAATGCTTAACTCCACAATAAGGGATTTATCTTTCACTGCT